GGCCTGAACTTACTGTGTGGGAGGTGGCTTGACCCTGCAGGTGCTTGGTGACTACTGGTGACCTCAGAGGTCTCCACAGAGAGACACAGCAGAGGAATAAAACAGTGGGTACAGCAGACTGAGTTATCCATGTTCAGCTGTCCCCCAGAAGGTGACTGGCCTGGAACCATCTTGGAGAGGGGCCAACCGAGCCAGGAGCTCAAGGCCGCTGCAGGCCAGCTCCATCTGGTGGCTCCCAGTGATAGCACCAGGCTTCTGAGTTCAAGCCCGCGGAGGCACACAGAGCATGGTAGGCTGAAAAATCGGGTTCCAGCCTCACAGGCAAACCCAGCATGAACTTTAGTAGAATTAAAGGTGCAGGCTTGTTGGGATTATCAACTAGCATGGCTTAGAGCTATGGCTGGCTTGCTGGGATTAACCAACACAGATCTGGACTCTCTGCTCACACTGTCTACTAGTGACAGCAGATACACACCTTGGAGTGTAAAATTGCCATATTGAGCTCTAATATTTACTGCATACAATTTCCTGGTTCAGTTTGGATTTTATCATATAACCACAAATCTAGTTCATATGGTTAAAGGTTGCAAAATAATGGTTACCACAATTTGTCATTTTTCTAGGCTATATTTAATGTCATTGTTATTTATGAATGTACCACTTAAACCAAGCTGACATATTTTTTCTTTTTCCCTTTTTTTGGCGGAACTGGGGATTGAACTCAGACCCTTACGCTTGCCAGGGAAGCGCTTATCCTGCTGAGCCATCTCCCTGGCCCCCGGCATAATTTTTCTAATCAGTTGTTCTTCCTGATATATCAGGACTGACATTGCCTAAGGGACATATTATAGGTCAGTGCCAAAGAGCCAGGGGCTTGGCCAAGCAGGCAGCAACTTCTCATCCTTAAGAAATTGAGGAGGCAGGATCTTGCAAGACTCAGAACCTAAAAACCAGCTACACTTGGAAGGTACATCTGTGTAGTCATTTCCTAAGAGTTCTAAGTACTAGCAATAAAGTACTCTCCATAATCTACAGGCATCAACCCAGAAATTAAGCTAAAAAAATGAATGAAAAAGGAAGTGAGAAGATACTTAAGCAAGATGCAATCCTACACTTCCAGTTCACCATAGGCAAACCCAGGAGGCAATAAGGTACAACAATTCAACAGCCACCCACCTGACTCTCTGAAGTGGTAATAGCGGAAGTAATAAAGCAAATGAAGGAGGCTCTAGAAAAAATAAAATCAGGAGTAATTTCTGAAACAACTACAGAGTTAGTGACCATAATGACTTGCTCACTAGCCCTGGAGCAGATATAGATAAAAAGTAGAGGTGCTTAGGAAAATGATAGAAATAAAAATATCCAACCTATATAGGAAAAAAAATAGAATCCATGAAACAGATTCAAACAGATATCCAGAAGATTAAAAATTCCACTGAAAGTATGCTCAGCACAACGAGCCAATGTGAGGAAAGGATCTCAGATATAGAAGACATGCAGTTAGTGACTATGAAGAGAAAGATTTCTTTAAAATAAGAGACCACAAGAAATCAGTCCAGTAGCTCCTAGGTGATACAAAGAATAAGATTGTCTGAAGTCAACAAAAAAGCAGAAGATAATACAAATGAGATTCTTAAAAACCTGTTCACAGAAGTCATGGCAAAAAACTTTCCAAGTGGGGAAAAAGAATTTGACATACAGACATGTGAGACATATAGAACTCCAATTAGTCATGACAAAAATTCTATACCATGGCATGCAATAGTCAAGATTCTAGAAATTCAACAGATTTTGAGTCATGAATTTACCTTGGAGGGAAGCCATACATTAAAAGGGTCCACATAGAGTCAGAATCCTGATGATACGGGGGTACCCCAACATCCACCCTAACCATTCTACTCAAAATATCCTTCACATGAGAGATTGACTCCCAGAAATCTACCAGGAATTAGAGTCACTTCTCTATCCCTGCCATCACATGTAGTTTCCAAATAACCACCAGCCATGCCAAATCCTCACTGCTTGTTTCCCAATGTCCTTCATCACCACATCAGTCAGGTTTTGTTCACATGGG